GTCTTTGTGCCCCTTTTCCCTGTTCATGCCCTATCGGCCCCCCTGGCTAAACTTTGCTAGATCCGCCCCTGCACAGTTACAGCGTCAGCTGTAGAAAAAGATCCTCGAGTAGAAAGTAATATTAAATACATTCTAACAACAGCTGATCAAGCTTAAACGTGCTGCTGTTGTTCAGCCGCTGGTTTCCTCTTTCTGCTGCAAAGTGAGACAAAAACAAACAAGAGAGACGATCAGCTGATCATTGATCAGTTTCAAAGTAGCAGCAGGAGAGAGAGAGAGAGAGAGGATCAGCTGATCATTGATCAGTTTCATGATTGGAGTAGCAGCAGGAGGGAGAGAGGCAGTCGCTCCATATATCGGTGTTTAAGCTTAACGTGGGAATGCTTTACAAACATTCAGAGATGAACTTGCACACTTGCTTTACTTCTCTCTGGGAAAACTTCCTCAGAGATGAAATGCTGGTTTGAGGCTACAAACACACACAGCCGCTCTATCACGTGACCACACTGCTGCGACGAGCTACGGTTATGAGCAGAGTTACCCGTGTGGGACGTTTTGATATTTAATGGATCGATTACATTTTTTATTTCGCTCCGATATCCGATCCAGTGATTTAGGTCAGTATCAGACCGACACGATACGTAATATCGGATCCGTCCATCTCTACTTTTAACTATTTCAATTTTCAGCTTTTTCATTTGAAACGAATTTAAAGTGAAACAACACAACACACTGCAAACAACAACACAACTAAATATAAATTAAAACTGTGGGGAAATGGCAGATCACAGACACATATTCTGGTCCTGCCCATCCATACGACCCTTTTGGTTGGAAGTTTCAAAAATAATACCAAAAGCACTGGGATTTAATGTGAGCTGTACATTTGTATCATTGTATCTGAGATGTTTTGCAGACGATTTAGTTACAGATGATGTCTATCTCCTGAGAATTCTTTTGGCATCTGCGAGAAAGGCTATAACAACGTGCTGGCTTTGTAAAGATCCTCCCACTATAAGTCTTTTTATTTCTATAGTGGAAAACATCAGATTGATGGAATGTATGACTTTTACCCTGCGAATTCAGGGGGGCTTGGGAAGGAGACGGAGAAAATGGCTGGGCTCTACAAACTGTGGCAGCATTCTTTAATGCATAGAACTTACAATACTATAGTATTTATGTACGTATGTGCATGTATTTGTCTTCCAATGACCTCATAATATTTTGTTTGTCTGGGTTTTTTCTTTCCTTTTGTTGTATAAAAATGTTTCTAAATAAAAAGTAATCATGTTGCATTTTTCCAGAATTTCTGAGCGTAGCAAAAAGTCCATCTCATGGCCTCTCCAATGTCCATCAAGTCCCCAAGTTTTGCTTCACCAACCACTGAAGTTACCCACCTCCTAACCCCCTTAGTAACAGTCTATCTACCAGACCACATCACTTCATACCTTTACAGTCGGTGTCAGCAGTAAGAGAGAAGGGATGATGATACTGGAACACGTCCATCCCCAAGTTTCTAACATGGTTGCTTTGGGTTGTTTTTGGCCCTGTTCTTCTCCATGTTGCAGCTGAAATACGATTCAAAGATAGGATTTGAAGACAGAGGCCTCAACCAATATGTTCTCCCTACAATCGCATAAAGCTGGTGTTGTGTGTCAGTGTGTGGCTGGCAGTGTGGACCTAAACATGAAGATTGACTTTTCCACAGGGGCAAGATTAGGACAGAAGACACAGGGACATGACTGGAGGGACAGGCAGGGATACAAAATAAGCAAAACTAGACCAGAACTAGACAAGAAACAACATTTTAAACTATGAGTAAATAAAGAAAAAAAGAAAAACATAGCAAGTAACCAAAACATCAAAGCACTAGGCCCAAAACAGAGAGATCCTAACAGCCGGGTTTACGAGGGATTTGTGAAACGTCTGATCCAGCTCAGCAAATATTCAAGATTCAAATATGTGTGTGGATAATCTGTCAAGATGGGTGGGCATGCCAGGCCCGCATTTATCTCAGCTGGGTGGGCTGACAGAGAGGCCACAATGGGAAAACTGCTATGAGTTTAAATGTGGGGCCCATAGCAGTTTGGGCCTTTTTGGCCCCGCAGGGAAATCCTTTGGGCACCCTCAAAGGAGTTTGGCCCACTGTTGATGTAGTACTTGTACCTTTATAGTTTTATTACTTTTTAAGCTTTTTCTCTTGCCTTTCCTGTCTTTGTTCCTGCAGACTCTGTCAGGCTGCTGAACGGTTCCAGTCTGTGTTCAGGCGGACTGCAGGTGAAGTCTAACCAGAGATGGTCCTCAGTGTGTGAAGCTGACTTTGACCTGCAGGATGCAGAGGTGGTCTGCAGGGAGCTTGGCTGTGGGCCTCCTTCGCTCCTCCAGGGGGCGCTCTATGGAGAAGCGGAGGCTCCAGTGTGGAGCAGAGAGTTCCAGTGTGGAGGCCATGAGTCTGCTCTCCTGGACTGTAGAAGCTCAGGCTCAGCTAGAAGCAGCTGCTCACCTGGCAAAGCTGCTGGACTCACCTGCTCAGGTAGAAGAGGAGCTGCAGCTTTGGTTCAAACTCACTTTGTTCTCTCACTGATGACTCTCCGCTTTCTGTCAGAGCCTGTCAGGTTGGTGGGAGGAGCCAGTCGCTGTGCAGGTACACTGGAGGTGAAACAGAGACTGTGGAGATCTGTGGAGGCCTCAGGCTGGACCCTGACGGATGCACCTGTAGCCTGCAGAGAGCTGGACTGTGGCTCTGCTGTTTTAACAGGAAGGAGAAATGCATCCTGGGATGGACCAACGTGGAAGATCAAACCTGACTGTGTTAAATCTGGATCTACACTGAGGGAGTGTGCCACATCATCCCAGTCATCCACAGTCCTGGAGCTCATCTGCTCAGGTAAGAGACTTGCTGTGAGCCAACGGAGTTTAACATTGAACGAGTCGAGTAAAGTTCAGCCAATCACCTCTCTGTTTACAGACCTGCTGGTTCAGCCAATCATCTCAGTGTCCTTCTCGTCCAATGACGGGCACTACCAGGTCCAGCAGCAGGAGTCTTCTTGGGTGTTCAAAGGCTCCAGCTTCACCATCAGCTGCTCCATCCAACCTCACTACCCAGGAGGCTCTTTCCAGCTCACCTTCACCTCCTCCAATACCACCAACAACTACACCCTGCCAGCTGTCAATCACTCTGCCCACTTCCTGTTCACTGCTGCAGAGCCCGCCCACCAAGGAACCTACAGCTGTGTTTATCACGTCTTTGTGTTTTCTCATAACTTCTCCTCCGAGAGCCGTCAGCTGTCTCTCACTGTCTCAGGTGAGCTGAAGCAGAGTGGAGCTCAGGTATGAAACAGCAGCAGGTCCCACCTGACGTAGGCTCAGATGGAGTCAGAGATGTAGGCGGGGCCTACCTGATGTTTGTGTTTGATGCCAGCTGTTGTTCTCCTAACATCTAATGTGACGGCTGAATGTGTCTCTTCAGATCCAACAGTGTTTGTCATTAGACTGCTGCTCCTGCTGCTCTTCATCGCTGCCGTCTGTTTCAGCCATAAGGTACCGTGCACACGTCTGCTGATCAGAGGACGCTCTGGAACGAAGCTCTCGGCCCGTTGGAAGAGAGCGGCGACTCGCTGACTCACACCTGTGTGCTGCTGTGTCTCTGCAGGTCAGCAGGAGGCAGGAGCCCCGCCCACAGGAGGACCCGGAGCTGGATGGTTAAAGCTGGCAGTGTCCAGAAAAGCAGGCAGCTCAGCAGCGCCTCCACATGGTGGAGGAAGTGTTTGCATCCTTCACCACCGTGTGAACATGAACTGCAACCACAGTATCACTTATACTTTTGCTGTGTCATGACTGTCATGATGGTTGTGATTATTAGTTTTGTATTCATATTATATTGTTAAGAACAAACAGTTTAACATTTGATGGTATCGGGCACGTCGGGCACGTGTGAGCTGGTGTTGGGGCTGGACACAGGTTAACTAAACCTTTTAAGCTGGAGCTTACCACAGGACACTGTGCTCATTAAGTTCATTCTCAGTATGACAGCAAAGACGTTCCCCTGGAGCTGTCCGATCCATCCACCAAACATGGTCCCACTTTCTGCTCGCTACTTCAGCATGCATGTTTGATCACAGTGCTTTGTCTGTAGGTTACATATTAATGTCATTTTTACTTGTCCATACAAGAGCTAGGAGTCATAAAGATGGTGTCCTCCATCAGCATCTCACAGCACGTTGTGCAAAGCTTTTGCAGCATCAGCCTCAATAAAACATTTCCAGCTGGAAGGTTTCCTGAGAGATGCTCTGCAGTAACCATCTCCTCATGAGCTCGGTGTGAGGTGACCCTTCTCCAGGTACTCCCTGGTGTTCTGGTTAAGCTCATCAGCAAAAAGCTGAATAAAGCCATCTTTGCACACGGGCCTGGTCGTACAGTTGGAGCATACACAGTTTGCTCGGTGATCATTACTAGACAACTCCTCACAGTCAGATCCAAACAGTGTGGGATCATCCCGCCAGAACAAAAGGCAGAAACAGCCAAAAGTTGGAGAAGTATCCAAGTATAATGTTAACTCTGCTTTAACCTTGCAAATATGCAAGTGAAACGTATGAGACAGTAAGTTGATGGATGTGGGCGTTACTCTGATCAGCTGTTTGGGCCGAGTTCCAACGTTTACTTCCTGCAGGTGTGCACAAGCTGCACCCGCTGTGCTTTAAACCTACTGAAGCAGAGTAAGGATAAACCAGCACGAACTGTTTGTGCGTCATCACCATCGTGTCTGTTAGCTAATCATCCACCTGCGGTACTGTAATCTGGTTTTTAGTTTGTTTTCTCCGTAGTTCAGTTGGTCTCCAGGTTAGCTTTACCGTTTATTTTAGTATTCCTCCATCTAAGATGTGGGTTTAGCTCAGACATGAAACCAACGCTTCACTGGGAGCTGCAGAGCTCAGAGAGGGAACTGCTGACGCAGCTGTGATGAGCTTCTCTTCTCAAACAAACGCATCTGATACAAACAGTGTATATTAAGAAAATCTTTATTAGAAGCGTCCAGTATGAAACCACAGATTAAAAACAAATTAACCTGAAGACAAAATGAGAACATTACAGCAGCTGGATTTCACAGGTTCAAACGTTTCAGTCGGTCTGTGCAAAAAAAGCTCAAACTCCCTTTTAAACGATTCTGCTCGAGCGGGAACGTCGCCTGCTTTTCCAGGAGACAGTAAACGCGTCACTGTGGATCGGCGCCGTTTCCAGGACCGTTCATGTGCTGCATCAACATGGCAGCTCGTCCACGGGTCGCCCTGTGAGAACGCCTGAGCTCAGAGTACAGACGCTCGAGGGACCAATAAAAGACAAAACAGGAAAGCCAACAGGACGTCAAACAAAAACACAGAAATATTAACTATTGACAGAAATGACACACTGTTGTTTTTCCACAGGAAACACTGATCACTTCCAGATGGAAATGTCTGTGGCGAGTGGCGAGGGCAGGAGGCGAGTCTGAACCAGAGCTACGATGTCCTCTGCGCTGCCTCCACCCCGCTCGCAAGTCTAATAGTTCGACTGTATGAGCGCGCTCAGACGTCGCCGGGCGTCCCGTGTACCCTGAAGCGGTACATGCAGGTGTACTCCTCGTGGCCCCAGTTAGATAAAACCTGGACCTCGATGATCTGAAAGGCTTCGCTGTTCTCCTCCTGATGGGACACAAACAGAGACGGGAAAAGGCAGCGACATCGCATGTTTGAGAAGTTCAGGCAACAAACTCGTTTTCTGCCTCGAAGGAGAAAAAACTTTAAATTTGGATCAATAACTCTGCTCATCTCAGCAGCCGCTCTGCAAAACTAACCCCCAACCTGCCTGTGATCATTTGTTTGTGTTTTTTTCCATTGATGGGGCGAGTGTCCAGATTTAGATCTGTGAGGTCATATTTTGCAGTCATGTGACCATGAGTCACGTGACAGCCTCGCCATCTCGTTCGTGCGGTTTTAAAAACAAGAACAAATTTAAAGAGACAAAGTGAAGCAGCTGGTATCTGACAGGCTTCTGTCGCCCTCTGAGGCTGAGTGTTAACGACTGTGACAGACTGGCTCGCCAACATTAAGGAAGGCTAAAACCACAAGCCCCGCCCCACGACTCACTGAAACAGCAAATGTCTGGAGAGCGTCTCCATCCTGGTCGTAGGTGTAGGTGCCGAGCAGCTTGCCTCGCTCCCGGCTCTCGTTAGCCAGACCCTGAAAGAGCGTTCAGGTTACACAGAGACTACAGAGCAGCAGGTTTATGAACGCACGCCATCGCTCTCTTACGTAGACGGCGAAGTCTCGGGGGGCGCTGTGCAGCGTCCCGCTCGGGGCCAGGGCTTTGGGGATGTGCTCGAGGGTGAAGGCCGAGGGCAGGACCCTCATGGAGAGCCGGATCACCAGGAAGCCCGTGGAGCCTCTGAAGGCCCAGCAGTTCCCCGGGTGGACGTCGGGCTGCAGCAGAGAGCACAGATCAGGTGATTTCTGATTCATCAGTCTGAGCAAAAACATCTGGAAGAGCGCTGAGAGGAGGACAAAGTCCTATCACAGAGTCAAAGACGAGAAAGAGGAGGGGCTTCATATCATAACCACATGACTGTACGGGTGAGTTACCTGGATCACAGCTCGGGGAGACTGAGAGAAATACCAGAGCGGGACTCCGAACAGGCTGAGCAGCGCCGCCTTCGTCTCGTACGTCTCCGAGCAGCGAGTGCTCAGGATGCTGCCCCCTGCGGGACGAGCACAGAAACCACACTGGGTAAACCATTACAGCAGGTTCATGACATCACAGACGTCGCTGTTGGATTCTGACCTCCAGACTCCAGAGCGTAGTCCGCCAGGCCGGTTCGATCCTCAGAAAACAGCCGCAGAGCGTCCTTCACCGCCGCACGGACATCCTGAGGACACGAGGGAGGCGTGAGTGGCGATTATTACAGCGTGAATAAGGTCATTACTCAGAAAGTTAGACAGGTTTATCAAACTCATCCTCAGGTGGTAAATTTAGGCCCGCCTCTGACCGCGCCTCCTCACCTCCTGGGTGACCGTGGCCCCGACGCCCTCGGCAGCATGCAGGACAGGCTCTCTGACAGTCTCCTCGCCGCGCCGCTGCTCCAGCTGCAGGCTGATGTTCTGTAGGATGCTGAGCTCCAGAGAGGCCAGCGCCGCCTGCAGGTCCGTCTCGCTCACATAGCGCTCAGAGAGCCACCGGAGGAGCGACTCTGGGAGGGCGGCGGCGTCTCCGCCCGCTGTCAGCTGGTTGCTGAAGAGCAGCGCCCGAACTTCCTCTCGCACCTGAGCAGAGACCTGCCCCAAAATCTACAGAAAAAGGACAGTCAGAACAGGAAACTGGTCCTTCACATTAAAAGCAACCATTCAGTGAGGCTTTTATTGTGAAGGAGACCGTTAAAATGAGTGTCTCACCGCCTGCTGGATTGTGGCGAGCTGTTGGCAGCTGTCCTGACATCTGGACAGAAGCT